AACAGCTGCCAGAGGGAAGATGGGCTCTGGTGACCTCACGTCTCAGCCTACACCATCAGCAACATCCTAACGAACACTGCCGGGTTCAGTCACCGTATCAGGCACTTTAGACACACTAGCCCCTCACCACCGCCCAGTGAGATCCCAGTACAACTGTCCCCATCTTAACATGTGGAAACTGAGGCACAGAGAGGTGGCAGGAGGGATGGGAGGACTCATGGGAGTCCCTGAGAGTCAGAGGGGTAGGTAGGGAGTTGGGAGGGCAAAGAAGGAAGGCGGGGGAGCAGGCCTACCCTACTCGCAGGTACCCAGGGACTGTCTTGGTTTTTCCACTCAGTCGGATGTCAAAGACAGCTGTGTCCGCGGCCCCCAAGGGCACCAGCTTCACACACATGCGTTTCTTCTTGGACACGGAGGCCTCTGGGAGTGGGGCGGTGGAGAGCAAGGGGGTGAGAAGAGGCAAGAAGCAGGGAAGGGGCCCCAAGATGGCTCCAGATCACTCTCCAGGGTGCTGTTTAAGGGAGCTATCTGCATGGCGTGGGGCAGTGGTTATATCATGAATGGTAAAGTCATAGGAGGAGAATCCATGACGCTTTTAGGAGCCAGTGGGGCAGGCTCATCTTTGGCGACATGGAGGAGCACTCATGGGATCATGAGGAGCACTCATGGGGTGGTCAAGGGGACCACAGTGAGGGCGGGGAACGGTGGGATCAGATAGAACTGGGAGCCCGTGCTGGCCCTCCAAACTCACTTTCCCTCAGCCCTCTAACCCAGAGATAGCAAACTACAACCGATAAGCCAAATCTGACCCAAAGTCTGTTTTTGTCTGGCTCATGAGCTAAGCATGTCTTTTACATATATGCATATATATGCAAGGGCTTTCCCAGGCTCCTCTGTCCATGGGATTCTCCAGGCAAGAATACTGGAGTGGACTGCCATTTCCTCCTCCAGGAGATCTTCCCCACCAGGGATGGGTCCCGCGTGTCCTGCATTGGCAGGCAGGTTCTTTATCACTGAACCACCAGAGAAACCCACCAATAGATATATGCTGACAGTCAAATACAAATGACAAGACACAGGGAGGGCATGGGAGGCAGGGAGAGCCTGGTGATTAGAAAGCAGAGCAGTCAGGGCTGGGGACTGGGAGAGCAACCCCTGTACAAAAGCCTGGAAAATGGAAAAGAGAACTGCGCCTGGGTCAGCTTGGCTACAGTGGAAGAAGGTGGAGTAGCAACAGGAATAAAACAGGTCGCACAAACTGAACACTTACTCTAAAGAGAGAAGCATTTTTACGCAGGGCAGGGTTCATCACCCCGCCCTAGATCAATCCTCAGCCAACACTGTCATTACCCAGAGCATCGAGGGGGCGGCCAAGGCTCAAAAATCGCGCGCCTATGGTCCTTCCATTCCCTCCCTGATCTTCCCTGCAGAGACGAGCGAACTTGCCCCTCACCCCCTCCACACACCCCACCCCTGCCTTCGACGTGGGACTCACTCGAGTCCAGGGGGTCGCAGACTGGTGAGAATCCCGGCGGGAGGGGGCTCTTGTCCACTAGGATCTGGATGTCGACCACCACGTTCTCCTGGGGATTCTGGGGTCGGGGGCGGGGCGCGGGGGGAAACAGCGAGAATCACCCAGCAGCACGGACCGTGTCCCTGGCATAATGCTCCGCGAATGGACAGGGGAAGTGGGAAGACCGGGGGATTCCGAGGATGGGAGCTCGTTACCTCTAGGCTGCCCAAAGGATTCAGGCACAGGAAGTAGCCAGATTTCTGCGCGAATGTCTTGCCGAAGCTGGCGGGCGCCCCCTCCACAGTGCAGGAGATCTACAGCGCGAACGCGGGTCAGAGCCAGGACACTACCTGGCCGCAGTCGCTGCTGCCCCCATTCAACCCCCGGCCCCTAGTGCCGCCGCCTTCCCGTCCCCGGTCCCCCGACATCGCTCACCGCACTGAATCCCCGCGGCGGGGGCGCCGAGGCCGACGACCAGGCTAAGCCAGCCAACGGCATCCCGTTGGCCCCGGGCCCCGGATCCATCCTGCAAAACAGGCACCGAAGGCGGCAGACAGCCTCGGACCTTCCTGCCGCAGCTGGACTACGGAGTTCGACAGGAAGCTGAACTACAACTCCCAGACGGCCTTGCGATGTCGGGGGGAGGGGCCAGGAAACGCATATGCGCGAGCCGGGAAAGCCGCCGGCCAATCTTGTGGAGACAAGGAGCCACGCCCCTCAGGTGCGCCTGTGGGAGACGTTTGCGGAAAACTGTCTCGCTTTCACCTCAAGCCCAGCGACTTCTGCCGGAAATGTCTCGCTAGCTGGAAACCAGAACTACATTTCCCAGAATTCCGTGTGGTATCAGCCTCTCCTCCAGAGCTGCTGTCATCGGTGTTTCCCGGAAATTTCCGAGAGAGAGATGAAAAATCTGCAATTTTTGTTCCCGGAAGTCATCCCAAAAGACACTCTCATGGGTTATACAACGATTAGTAAATAATGGAAAGTACGGACCAGCGTGAGCCGTGAAATCTTGGTGTAACTTGAGGATTTATTCACACATATAATTCATTAAGATGGTATAAAAGTATTTAGAATGGCTAAGTGCTTTTACACGCTTAGATGGAAAATATGGTCAACTGGGGAACGGAATATTATCCACTCGCATACATGTTCCAGCTGTTTACTGTATTATCGATTAGTCCACTGCCTGTTTTTTTGTGCCACATGAGAGCAAAATATGTTTTTTATATTTGTGATGAAAAAAATCGTTTTTAACTTAGGATAAGAAAAATTTTAATGTAAAACTCTCTCTGTTCGTTTGGGTGACTACCTGCTCGCCTTTAGTGTGCATCGTGCATCTGTGTTATTGATTAACTAAATCTACACCAAGGCCTTTGACTGTGTGGATCACAACAAACTGGAAAGTTCTTACAGAGATGGGAATACCAGACCACCTGACCTGCCTCTTGAGAAACCTGTATGCAGGTCAAGAAGCAACAGTTATAACTGGAAATGGAGCAACAGCATGGTTCCAAATCTGGAAAGGAGTATGTCAAGGCTGTATATTGTCCCCTTGTTTTTTTACTTTTTTTGCGGGTTTTTTCGTGAGAAATGCTGGGCTGGATGAAGCACAAGCTGGAATCAAGATTGCAGAGAAAAATATCAATAACCTCAGATATGCAGATGACACCACCCTTATGGCAGAAAGCGAAGAACTAAAGAGCCTCTTGACGTAGATATCAGCAGTGGAGGAGGTGTGACAGGCTGGAAGAGCAAATGCTGCTGAGCGCTCTGCTGTTCCATCAGTTGCCATCCACCACCCTGTTTTCTCTTCTTGCTGCAAAAAGAGCCTCTTGATAAAAGTGAAAGAGGAGAGTGAAAAAGTTGGCTTAAAACTGAACATTCAGAAAACTAAGATCATGGGATCAAGTCCCATCACTTCATGGCAAATAGATGGGGAAACAATGGAAACAGGGACAGACTTTATTTTGGGAGGCTCCAAAATCACTGCAGATGGTGACTGCAGCTGTGAAATTAAATGATGCTTGCTCCTTGGAAGAAAAGTTATGACCAACCTAGACAGCGTATTAAAAAGCAGAGACATTATTTTACCAACAAAGGTCCATCTAGTCAAAGCTATGTTTTTTCCAGTGGTCATGTATGGATGTGAGAGTTGGACTGTAATGAAAACTGAGCACTAAAGAATTGATGCTTTTGAACTGTGGTGTTGGAGAAGACTCTTGAGAGTGCCTTGGACTGCAAGGAGATCCAACCAGTCCATCTTTAAGGAAATCAGCCCTGCATATTCATTGGAAGGACCAGAAGGGGACAACAGAGGATGAGATGGTTGGATGGCATCCCCGACTGTATGGACATGAGTTTGAGTAAGCTCTCGGAGTTGGCGATGTACAGGAGAGCCTGGTGTGCTGCAGTCATGGGGTTGTAAAGAGTCGGACACAACTGAGTGACTGAACTGAGATCTACTTAACACAGGAATGCCTGCTTAGAAAAGAGCAATTTTCTTCTGGTGCCTGCCAGGCAGTGATGCAAGATATAGATGGGCTCCAGTTACATATTTATAACTGGTCTCCTGTTTGCATTTCGTGGGGCACAAAGAAGTGGGCTTTAGGCTTAACACTTAGAACTGTTAGCATTTTCTGATATAAAAGGTAGGTGGGGAAAAAAAAAAAGAGGTAGGTGGGCTCCAGTTAAGGCATTATAATCAGCCTCCTGTTTTCTTTCCACACTGGAAGTAACAACAGAAACAGGGTAAACAGCCAGTGTTTATCTCTTGTAAACGCCTTATGGTAATAGTAGTCATGGCAATAGTCAAGGTAATAATCATGGCAAGAACAAAGAGGGGCCAAACCCTGTTTGAGTAAAGGATTAACGGATCTCTGCTCCTCCCTCTTTGGAGACAAGGGAGACAGTGCACATGTGCAGAAAGGCTCCTTGTGGGTCTAAAGTCAGAGTCTTGCTTCTCCCAGAAGCGTTCACTTTGAGATCCATCTTGGCTGAGGGGTGTGAGTACGCCCAGTGGAGAGTCTCAGAGTAGGTCAGGTGTGTTAAAAGAAACCAGATAATTGGCCTGAAGGAAGGCAAAGGCCCGGAAGAACTAACCTATATGAATGACATAACTGGCTCTTTACTGTGCGTCTCCTCACTAGGGGGAACGCCCACACCCTCCCTCTCCGGGTGTGCATCTCTGCCTTGCTTCTGTCTTAACAAACCATTTCTCTCTGTGCTCTCCCACTTGTTGTGCTACGTCTCTAATAATAAACTTTGTACCTACATTTATGGTTTCTGCCTCCGTGATAAATGTGTTTTTCACTGGGGGCAAAGATCCAGGGAAAAAGAGCTTCTAGCCTCTAGCCCTTGCTGGTCTAGTGGCTAGAATTCCTGGTTCTCATCCAGGCTACCCCGGTTCAATTCTTGGGCAGAAAATTAAGATCTTGTGGAGGGCTCGGAGGAGTAGATTCTGAAAAAAGGACACGGACAGCCTCTCTGGGAAACTGACAAAACTTTACTTCTAAAGGAGTCGTTTTATACATGAGAGCAAGGGGATAGCTTACAAAAAACAAGGTTACACAGATAGAGCTTGAGCATGGACAAAGTTGATAACAGCAAGTTTACAAAGTTTATGAGACACATAGACTCTTATTTTCTCAGGATTAAAAGACAATCTGTTTTCCTCAAGGCCAGCTTGTTGTTCTCAGCACTATTCTCATGCAGTCACAAGAGCCCTATGTGCAGGAAATGTTTCTCAGGGCAAAACATCGAGACATGCCTGGCGGTCCTGGCCCTTCACCAGTTCCTTGTGAGGACCTTCTCCTCAAGGCAGGCTCGTAGTCTCCCTTAACATTTCCTCCTTTTCTTTTTTAGTGTTGGGACTGCAGCTGTCATTTTTATTTTTGTATCTTGGGTTCAGGAGGATCTGATCCAGAGGCATTGGAAGCCTATAATACCAATGCATATAATGAGAATTATTAGAACATATGAGACAATATGAGAAGACAAAAACCAAGATCAAGGGTCTAGTGATGAAAAGGCAGAGATTAATGCATCATAAAACTGCAAACTGTATAATTCTGGGGGTAAGTTAGAATAACTGTCACTTATTTGTTTCTTCAATTTTTCAATATTAAGACTCATGTTAGTTTTTTCTAATTGTAAATGAGCTTTAATCGTGTCCCAAGGGTACTCAGAGGCATGGTAGGGTAAATCAGTAATACAAAAGTTTGTAAAGTTTCAAAGACATTTCAGTTTGAGTGGTAATTGTAATCGATTTACTTGATCTCCTACATATAATAAAGCATCCTGTATTTTATCTAACCGGGCCTGGATTTGCTGATCAATTTTTGCTTGTTGTGCCCACAGCTCATGGGAATCTTTATGCCATGAAGTGATAAACTCATGATTTTGAATAGAATTATATAAGGCCATGCCTGACATAGTGCCAAGAGACACGACTGTTATGAGGCTAATAATGCCTAATATAATCTAACCAACAAAGTGTTTAGCTCTTTTGACAACTCTTTTTAGTAAAAACGATAGAAACATAGAGTCAGACCATGGTTCATCAAGAGAAATAGGTATCCATAATTCTGCTCTCTGTTTCATAGGGAAAATTCCCTCCCTACTATGATTGAATGGCAAACTATGGTTCAAGCAAGTGTAGAGTTTACAGTTTGTGCAATTGATGAGTTGCATGGAGTTTGTAATGATGAATTTTCCTGTAGCAAACAGAAAAGGGGGGTGTACACATGCTTGAATGAACCCAGTGCCATTATAAGTGATAGTATAGTTTTGGGGACCTGAAGTATGAGCGTGTCTTATAAGGGTAGCAAATTGGTGTAAAGAGGCAGGTATTCTCCAGATGTGCCAATGCTTAGTCCCGAGTTGAGGGTGGATCATATGGGGCCTGGGTGGAGACACCATTATAACAATTCAGGATATCATTCTGTTGATGCCATAGTCCCCCCAAAGAATGTTTAAATCTAATATTTTTGTCCCATTGCAAGTTCCCTCTTCCCATTCAGAGCAATTAACAAATATTTCATGTGGTCCCCAATCAATAAAGGTAACATTCAAATAACGAGATATTTTCCCAATAATTCCCTGGCAGTCAGACCATAATAATGGAGGGCCTTGATGTTTTCTTCACCGGGATATTGCTTCACAGGGAGGTTCCTCAGGTAAAAATAAAGCATTTGTACTGTTAGAAATTCGCCCATGATAATATTTTTGAGATTGATTTAACAGAAATGAAGTGGCAGCAAAAAAACCCAACCTAAAACCTGTGCCATTATTATAGGAATAACCCCACCATTGAGGAAATATAGACATGCAAGGAGGACTTGCACCGAAGCAAATAGGTAAAACCTTATACCTTATGGATATATTGGCTGCTTTCCCCTCTTGATCAGGGTGAGAAGGTCCAGCTCTAGACCATGGAGGAGGGAAGTGTTGGCTATCATTAGTTAAGACCAGAGGGCTAGGTTCATTCCAATCAACAAATTGCAACAAAGGCGGAGCAGGAATGAATGGAAATCCAGTATGTATAATTAGCATTTACCACCGATGTACAGGACAATACAGCTAGCATACCCAAGAAAAGTTTATCAGGAGTTAAAGGGGTTCCGGTTTCTTTCAGTACATCTTGAGCTTTCCTTGTCAGATTCTTGATCTGTGCCCAAGGGGGCACGGTTGAGCTGGAGTACCTTTCCTTCTTTTCCGTTATTTCTCTTCCTCCAGTGACATTGTGGCCATTCTCTTGGTGATGTGGGTCACCTATTTTTTGTTCCCGAGGGATCTTGGTTGTTGAGGACGTATGTACCGCTGCGGAGCTTAGATGTCTTCTCCATCTGTAGAGACAAGACCATATCCTCTGCCTAGGAGCTTTAATACCCCTGGCTTCCAGTTACTGAATCATTTAACCCAAACATCCAATTTCAAAAATTGCTCAGAAACATTAGTCTTGGACATATTCAAGAAATGTCTTTTGTCTCTAGTCATCTCTTCTGAAGATTCGTTCAAAAAACTTAGGTAAGTAAAGTAAGAGGTAAATATTCTTTTGGGCCATATTTTGTATAGAGTATTCCCTCTTTTAATTTATTTAAAGTTAATTTAAGTCTTATGGGCCCGTTTGATAATGGCTTGCTCCTGGGGGTTATAAGGGATTTCACGAAGATGAAGGATGTTCTAATCCAAAAGAAAGGTCGTAAAAGCTTTTGAAGTAAAAGTGGGACCGTTATCAGTTTTCAAGGTATGAGGTAGGCCCATCATTGAAAAAAGCGGACAGTAAACCCTGGATAGTTGCTTTGGTTGACTTAGAAGAGGCAGGAACAGCCCAAATGAAACTTGAATGAGTGTCAATTACAACAAAAAGCAGAGAGGTACGGGGTAAAGAAAAGTGGGTAAAATCAGCTTGCCATAATTCATTAGGATGGTGACATCCGTTGATGTAATGGGTAACATACAGAATAAGATCGCACAATATTGCGAGCCGTAGATAAAGGAATATGATAGTGGCCATGTAGGCGGTTAGCATTGGTATGAAGAAGCTCATGTTCTTCTTTTGGAGAGGAGAAGAAAGCATTTATTAATTTATTAACCTTATTGTTTACAGCTGTCAAAGGTCCAGGAAGGCCTGAGTGAGCACGGATATGTGTAATATAGAAAGGGCATAAACATGATTGAATGAGAGTCTGAACAGACAAAAACAATTGAGTCAATTCCAAATCTGAAGAAGAAAGTGGGGCTGTGACAAAATTAGGAAACATGGAGGCAATGTATAGTGAATCTGTAAGTACATTAAAGGGGGAAGGCTTGCACTCTAGTAGAAGATATAAAGCATAAAGTTTAGCTCTCTGAACAGAGGAAAAAGGACTTTTTATTCATTTCGTCCAGTGAGGACCCACTATTCCAGAATATCTTTGTTTACTTCCATCTATGTAATAGGTAGGTGCTTCTGGAGTCAGGGTTTCAGATATGATGGAGTTGTTTTTAGAAAGTCCCAAAGTTTACCTTTAGGCAAATTTGGAAGTAAAGTCCCTTAGAAATTAGAAAAGGCAATCTGTATCATAATGTTATTTTGTAATGCTGCATTAAAGTCTAACTTTGAAATAGGGATGTATATACCATCAGGATTATATCCAGTTAATGTCTGTGTATGAGCATGGCCCTGATGGACAATAGTACCAATAAGCTCAAAGTAAGAGACAATTTTCTTGGCCTGTTTTGAATGGAGATATACCTATTTTAATGGAGAGGTTTCTTTTTGTGCTATAACAGCAGTAGGAGATCTAATAATGGGAAAAACATATAAAAAAATTGGAAGATTAGGTTGAACACGACGAACGAAGGCTTTAGCAATACATTTTTTTACTAATTTTAATTTTTGTTTCACCTCAGAGGTCAGGTGGCGAGAACTATTTAAGTCTGAAGGTCTTTCTAGGGTTTTAAAAAGATTTTGCAAAGCATATGTGGGAATGCCCAGGGAAGGTCACAACCAATTAATGTTGCCTAACAATTTTTGAAAATCATTTAAAGTCTTTATGAAATCCATTCTAATGGACATTTTTTTGTGGTTTTACTTTGTTTTTTGTTAACAGATAATCTAAATAATTAAAAGGTTCTGTACATTGGATTTTTTCTTCTGATATGATTAAGCCATGATTTTGTAACTGCTGAACGGTGTTTGAAAAAATCTTGTCTAATTGGAGCTGTGAAGTGTTGGCCAGCAGAATATCATCCATATAGTGTATAATATAAGCATTAGGGTATGTGTCCCTCATGGGTTGCAAAGTTTGGGCAACAAGATATTGGGGGAATTTTTCATACCTTGAGATAAAACTTTTCAATGATATCTCTGAACAGGATAAATATTATTTGTCGTGGGAACAGAAAAGGCAAAATGTTGTCTATTTTCCTCGTGAAGAGGCAGTGTAAAAAAGCAGTCTTGAAGATTTATAATGATAACAGGCCAGTTTTTTGGAATCATAGCAGGATTTGGAAGACCAGGCTGCGATGCTCCCATGGTTACCATGGTGTCGTTAACATTGCGTAGGTCAATAAGCATTCTCTATTTATTTGACTTCTTTTTAACAACAAATACAGGAGAATTCTATGGAGAAAAAGAAGGTTCAATTCTCCCATAATTCAATTGTTCCTTCATTAAATCCTTTAAAGCTGCTAATTTTACCGTAGTCAGGGGCCACTGGGCAGTCCACATAGATTCATTAGATCTCCATTGTAGATGTAGTGGCGATAACTCAGTGGCCCTGATCAAAAAGGTTCATTAAGTACAAGTCTTGCTTTAGTTTGTTGTAAGAAATTTTGGCCCCAAAGATTAATAGGAACTTCAGTAATATAGGGTTTTATATAAACTGTAATTTGGTCTGGACCATGAGCTTATAAATAGGAAACATTTTTAGAAGTGGTTAAAGAATTAGCTTCTTTTACATCAATTATTCTATTAGAAGCTGGTCATATGGGCCATTCTGGGGGCCATTCAGAGTGGCGTATAATGGAGATAGATATTCGCTCCAGTCTTCAAAAATTTTTCCCCGAATAGTAAGTCATAATATGGGTTTTTCCAGTTCGTGTAATAAAGCAGTTAATCCTGCAGTAATGTTAGTGCTGCCGAAACCCCCCGTTCTGGTAGTAGTGGAAGTCTTTTGTGGTTTAATATATGGTAGGAGAAGCAATTGAGCAAACTTATCACCTTTTTGTAAATATAAATTCCGGATGACTTGAACCATTATTGAAATTCTCCTTATGTAATCTTTATCAATAACTCCAGTCATGACCGTGAGACCTTGCATGGTACAGCTGCTGCGACTTAAAATCAGTCCCATGGTCTGAGACGGTATCGGGCCATAATAATCAGTGTTGATTTTATAAGGGGAATTTATTACCAAAAGTTCCATATCTTTAGGACAAGGAATATCAACACAAGCACTGTGTTGTGTAGCTGCCTGCAACTGAAGAATATTAGGAGGATTCCCTTCTCTGTGTGCAGGGCTGAAGGGTAGCCCCGTTTTTAGTTTTCTGACTGGCAATCTTTTTTTGTAATAGTGGATTCCCCGGTTTGTCATATTTTGACTTGTATTTATTTAGCTAATGATTTCCTTTTTTGCATCGTGGGCAAGGCCTGGGAGGTTTCCCTTTCTCTTTGAAATTTATAGCAGTAGGAGGCTGCCTTGGTCTAATGGGGAGATGGCACTGCTTTTTTATATGTCTGGGCTTCCCGCAATTAAAACATTTTAAATGTATAACCTTTTGTGCAGCGAGAGTTTTCATGGTTGCAACTTTAGCCTTATGCTGAATGGAGCCAATGTTTCGACAGGCTTTCATATAATCTATAATAGATCTGGTTTCTCGAATTGGCCGGATTACATTTTGATAATCCTCATTAACATTTTCAAAGGCCAAATGTTTTAGCAACCTCTGCGGCAAATTAGCATCCTTAATGGATTTCTTTATAACGTCTTTAAGTTTTCCTAGAAATTGGGCGTATTCTTCCCGTGGTCCTTGAAATATTTTAACAAAAGACCCATCAGACAGAGCATTGTTAACCTTTGCCCAGGCATGCAAGGCAACCTCCTTTATCCGATATACCACGGGTGGGGCAGTATTCTGTAATTGAGCCCCTACCTTAGCCATAGTGCCAGTTCCTGTTAAAATGTCAGAAGTAAGTTGAGCAGGATTTCTAAGACTTTGTCATTCCTGTAAAATTTCTTTCGCCTCATCGTTAACCCACATTTGCCACTGCAACAATTGTTGAGGAGTCAAAACCGTTTTACCTACCGCTGCAAAGTCGGCAGGAAGCCAATGATCTGCCCAATTCCGAAGGAATTCAAGACAGTATGAAGAAGTGGGCCCATAAAGAGTGCATGCTTTTTTGAAAGCAGAAACTAAAGTAAAATCAGCAGGGTTCCAGGTAACATGACCTGGTTGTGGTTGGTTAAATACAATGGGGAATGCGCGTTTAATTAGGTCAAAGCATCAAGGGAAACATGTGGAGGGAGCGTTTGAGCAGGAGCGGAAGGAAGAGTGGGGCTAGGGAATTCCTTCGGCAGTGGGGGAAAATGACTTTCGGTTTTAGGAGATCAAAAATCGCAAACAGCAGATGGCTGTTTGTTCTCATGGCCAACATCAGTGGGTCCCTTCTGATTAAAAAGAACATTCTTATGATGTAAAGCACCTTGCATACCCTTTTCATCTAATTCATACTCATGTAAAGATTGCACCGTTTCTACTTCTACATCAACCCTTTGGCCATCAGGTTGGTTGATAACGGTCTGAACCAATGCCTAAGTAACCGACCACAGGGGAGGAATTTGAGCATCTTGGCGATATGCAGTTAAGACATTGTTTTGGACATGTTGCCATACCTGTTTATCTCACGTCCCTTCCTCAGGAAACCAGGGATTGTATTCTAAAACAAGCTGATAACACTCAGTCAACTGATCAACAGAAATGTTAGTGCCGAATTGCTTCAGAAAATGATGCATAAGTGAAACAAAAGGTATCTTACTTGCCTGGTGTCCCATTGTCTGCTTACCTTCTTCTGCAGGAATCTTTCTCCGTGTTCAACTTGTCGTGACTTCGGAGGTCCCACGTTGGGTGCCACTTGTGGAGGGCTCGGCGGAGTAGATTCTGAAAAGAGGACACGGACAGCCTCTCTGGGAGACTGACAAAACTTTACTTCTAAAGGAGTCGTTTTATACATGAGAGCAAGGGGATAGCTTACAAAAAACAAGGTTACACAGATAGAGCTTGAGCACGGACAAAGTTGATAACAGCAAGTTTACAAAGTTTATGAGACACATAGACTCTATTTTCTCAGGATTAAAAGACAATCTGTTTTCCTCAAGGCCAGCTTGTTATTCTCAGCACTATTCTCATGCAGTCACAAGAGCCCTATGTGCAGGAAATGTTTCTCAGGGCAAAACATCGAGACATGCCTGGCGGTCCTGGCCCTTCACCAGTTCCTTGTGAGGACCTTCTCCTCAAGGCAGGCTTGTGGTCTCCCTTAACAATCTCCCTTCACGCCACTGCTCACTGATGCCTCACTGAGATCAGTAGCTCCTTAAGAGATAACATTTCTTTCTCAATCCCGTGAGGGGTCATTATGACCCACTACTCACCTTATAATGCAGATGTGAACTATGTAAACTGTCAAAACCATGACTCAAAAACAGTACAACTGTTCTGTGACCTCTAATGCCTGGAACAGTCCTCAGAACTTTCTGAAATCTCTCAGCTTACAATTTCAAGACTATAGGGTCCCCTTGAGGTGCCCCATTATTCCCACTGCTTAGGAGAAATTTGATTCCCAACTCAGAAGTTCCCCAGGTGGAATCTGAAGCTGGCCCCCACGCACAGAAGGCAAGGACAAACCAAAGAAAGAGGCAGAACTCTCCAGATTGGTGGTGGTTGTTTTTAGTGTCCACAGGGGGCTCATCATGTATTATTTTAAACTGGCCTATTGTGGTGGCCTGACAAACAAGGGACGAAGTCACAGTGGCCACACTGCCCTGGTGGCATCCTGTTTTTTTCCTTACGGTGATATCATGTTTTTCCTGGCTGGTGCCAGTTTCTCAAAGCTACGTGACCACCCAAGTGAGAGACGCCTCCAGCTCCATGATCACAAGACCCCAGCTGTGAGCTAAAGATAAACTAAGGCCCCCTCCCTCACAATTTTCCATCTATAAGCTATAAGAACGGTTGGCTACAGAGGGTGCACTGGTTTTTCTCTAAAGCCAGTCACTTTCTCTCTTCCTGTAATAAATCTTTCTCTGCCTGAATGCCCGGCTTGCTCTTTCTCCGAGCTTGCCTTACAGTTGTTCAGTCACTAAGTCATGTCCAACTCTTTGTGACCCCTTGGACTGCAGCACGCTAGGCTTCCCTGCCTCTGTTGTCTCCCAGAACTTGCTCAAACTCATGTCCATTGAGTTGGTGATGCCATCTAACCATCTCATCCTCTGTCATCCCCGTCTCCTCTTGCCCTCAATCTTTCCTGTCATGGTTGGGGCATGGGTTGGAGAAGAATTTCCAGACATGAGACAGAATGAGAGGGAAATAAAGTTTATTAGAATGGGAGACGCTGTTAGAACAGCAGCGTCTCATTCAACCGACTTTGAATGGGGTTCCTTAGTCCACTTTTATACCCAGGTTACAAGGAGTGGGATGGGGTCTTGAGGGTCATTTGCTGATTGGATATGGCATGTATACTGGATGGGGGGAAGAGTAAGGCAAATATTTCCTCCCTATGGGGCAGGAGGGGAGACAAGTTATACTGTTCCATCAATAGTTACAACATGGGGGAGGGAAGGATGATAAGAGTCTGGTTTTTCCATTCCTGCATTCCAAGACCCTTTCATCCTTGGGTCACCACATTTCCCAAAATCAGAGTCTTTTCCAATGAGTCAGCTCTTCTGATCAGGTGGCCAAAGTATAGGAACATCAGCTTCAGCATCAGTCCTTCCAATGAGTGTTCAGGGTTGATTTCCTTTAGGACTGACTGGTTTGGTCTCCCTAGTGTCCAAGGGACTCTTAAGAGTCCTCCAGCACCAAAATTCAAAAGCATCAATTCTTTGGCACTCAGCCTTCTTTATGGCCCAACTCTCACATCCATACACGACTACTGGAAAAACCACAGCTTTGACTATACGGACCAGATTGGTAGGTGGCAGGTTTAATAAACAAGTGAACTTATTTAAGAGTTTTGTCTTCAGTTCAGTTCAGTTCAGTCGCTCAGTCGTGTCAGACTGTTTGTGACCCTGTGAACTGCAGCACACCAGGCCTCCCTGGCCATCACCAACTCCCGGAGTTTACCCAAAGTTATGTCCATTGAGTCAGTGATGCCATCCAACCATTTCATCCTCTGTCGTCCCCTTCTCCTCCTGCCCTCAATCTTTCCCAGCATCAGGGTCTTTTCAAATGAGTCAGCTGTTCGATCAAGTGAAGCTCCAAAGTACTGGAGCTTCAGCTTCAACATCAGTTCTTCCAATAGGCACCCAGGACTGATTTCCTTTAGGATGGACTGGTTGGATCTCCTTGCAGTCCAAGGGACTCTCAAGAGTCTTCTCCTGACTCTCCAACTCTCACAGCCATACGTGACTACCGGAAAAACCATAGCCTTGACTAGATGGACTTTTGTTTGTCTTAGGCATTCACTAATGAGTAAGATCTGGAGAAGGAAATGGAAACCCATTCCAGTATTTTTGCCTGGAGAATCCCATGGACAGAGGATGTTGGCAGGCTATAGTCCATGTGGTCGCAAGAGTCGGACACAGCTTAGCGACTAAAGAGAGAGAGAGAATGAGTAAGATCTCCACACTGAGATAGGAAAGGGGCAGGACACGACTTTTGAAAGAATGGCATAGCCATTGAGCCACAGCATAAACTGGTTAGAACCAGCTAGGTCCAAGGTGGTGGATGGGTCGGCTTCCACTAGACCTTGAGCCTCACTATATGCTCATTGTAATGCATCCCCAAGCTAAATGACACTCCCACCAGGCACATCGACAATCTCTTGTGAGACTGACCGTAAGAGGAGGAGAAATGGGCGGTGGCCCAACTCTGAGAAATTCCTGTCCCTTCCCCAAAATAGTTGGAAGACTCCTCTGACTCATGAGCCTACAAAATTACCCATCCTTATAAAAACTGACAACCCCGTACTGTGGGGCTTCTTGCCTTCTGAGATGGCCCACCCTCTGTCTATGGAGTGCTTATCTCCCTGAGTAAACCTTCTTTCACTTTACTAAGGCTAGCTCTTGAATTCTTTCCTGTGTAAAGCCAAGAATGCATACTTGGTAGACATCCCAAGGACTCAGCTGAGAGCTGGGATGTGTGAGGTCCTCTCCCACCCCACCGTCTTTCCTGCCACAGTTCTTCTCACCAGAATCTTGTCAACCACAATTGGTGCTTGCCCAGGGCGTTTGCCATCTGAATCCTGCAGATGCAGCTGTTGAAATGCCCTGAAGGCACTTTGTGCTCCAGGGAATCTGGTGGAACAGATCCTTAGATAGTTAGATATTTTCAGGAACTGATTTCATGATCCCAATCCTTCCATCTCCTCATATGTAGAAAAGCACTGAATCTCTTCATGGTGACATCAGCTCCTCATGACTAACAGAAAACCTTTTGTAAAATAAGTGCCAAATATATTGACCTTCCCCCAACTCCAACCTCTTTGGAACAGTTTTATAGAGCTATCTGAGATGCTGTCTCCTGGACTGAAGCCTTCATTTTGCCCCAAATAAAACATTTCATGCAACTCTCACTACATCTTTATTCGTCTGCAGTCATGGCAACCAACGAAGCAAACCGGAGTTGACTTTCCTCCTTTACCTGAACTCTAGGAGGAACTGGAGCTTTGGTACCTTTGATGCCAGCAGTGGTCCCTTGGGCCCATCTGCCTCCTTGGGGAGTAAAGACAAATTTAGGCAGGTCTCCCCTGGTTCTCAGATCTCCCATATTGGGGCCTGACATACACTGGGGAATACCCACCCAGTGGAAAGGAACTGGATGGGGCTTATTTGAAAGATACTGAGGAATACTCACCCAGTTGAAAGATACTGGGGGAGGCCTGGTTAAAAGATATCAGGGGAATACCTACCCAGTTGAAAGATATTGGGCAGGGGTGGGGAGGCTGGTTTAAAGGTATCAAGAGAATACCCATCCAGAGGAATGGTACTGGGTGGGGCCTGGTTCAATGATACCAGGGGAATACCCACCCAGTGGAAAGGTACTGGGGAGAAGGGGAGAATTTGTCTGGATAGAAGCAAAGAGCGAATTTTATCCATGATAAATACAACTTAAAATGGGAAAGAGAGCCTCTCAAACACAGAAACCAGGGTCATCAGAAGCCAGCCTCTAACACTCCTGCCAGGGTTATGTGCATACGAAGTTTATACCTGCAAGAACCTACTTAATTGGGGAAATTATGCTAAAGGAGATCTCAACCTCAAGTGTCCAGACTGGGAGTTCTTTTGATATTCCAAAATATCAACTGCGTGCACAGTTAAAAAAAAAAAAAATCCAATCATAAGATCAAACAGACTAAGAGGAATGCTCACTGTAGTATTTAGAAGATTCTAAAAGAGGAAATGATAGAGTAACTTCTTTGTAAGAAACCAACAAGAAATTGCTTGAAACTCTATCAGAACTGAAAAAGGCCGCTAGCACTGACTGCCAGGTCACAGGTCTAGTGGGGCCGGGAAGTCACAATTGGGGCATTTATGCCATTTGCCTTTTGACTTCTGGGCAACTCTTTGCCATCCTCTTGGGGTATTTTTGCCATTTAGCTTTTGATTTCTGAGCATACTTTGCCATCTTTTGGGGACAGTCTTGCTATTTGACTTTTGATCTCTGGGCATCTCTTTGCCATTTGTTGGATTTGGAGTGTGCCTCCTGGCTGGTGAAGTTCTGGTTTGGGTTGGTTTGGTGAGTTTAGCTTGGTTACTTTGGTTTGAGTGTGCGGACATCTGGTAAAAACTGCTTGAGCCAAAACGGCAGGTGCTTCCTCTGAGGTTCCCCACCTGACCTAGGAACCCACTGGGAAAACTCTTACATGACTAGTCAACCTGTAGCTCTGATCCAATGACAAAGAAAAATGGCCTAACAGTATTACACACTTTTCAAGGTCAGGAAGAGGTAAGGGGGTCTCTGATGGTCTGCATTCACCTCGAGGATCAACTGGCAGTCATGTCCTCTCAATGACCTTTTCCAACACTGCACCCATTATGATCAGCTCTTCCATCTCACTTAGCCCCTTCTTCCACAATGTACACCGAGTGTGTTACTGAGTCCAAGCTCGTTCTGCTCAGGTGTCTCAACAGGCCAATTATCCAAGAGACAAGGTGTTGAGGCAAGGAATATGGCTTTTGAAAGCCAGCTGACCAAGAAGATGGCAAACAAATGTCTCAAAATAGCCATCTTATTGGGGTCTGGATGCAGGTTCTTTTATAGGAAAGAGGGGGGAAAGAATTGAAGTAAAGACTTTTTGCAAATATTCTTGCAAATCTATCT